TTTTTTTTTTTTTTTCAAAAAATTACTAAGTCTTGTAATTTACTAATATAGGAAGCAAACACTAAACAAGTAAACATTAATCCTCCCCTTGTTCTTTCAGTCTACTGGCATATTCTTTACAACAGCAAGGTATAGAAGTGCCACTCCATGGCACTGGTTGGCTGGTACAAATCATTATTCATACACCTCACCAAATTTTCAAACCCTTCCCACTATTCTAAATTCTGCTTTAATTTTCATTATGTAATTTTCTAAATTTCAAGGAGTAGGAGTTTTGATCAATGACATGTTTGGTTTTGTTATTGGCGGTACTGCATCATTGTAATAAACATCAACTTTAGTTTGATAAATATATGTTAAGTTAGTACGATTTACATTATTCAATACTAGTTTGTTAATGCTAGAATACTTCTCTTCATTTAGTTTCGTTATTTTTTAAGTTTAATATCTCAAATCTATTTTTTTTTATTTCTTTTGGTTGAATTCTGAAATTTTAGTTAGCCCTAATTTTCTTTCTACTAAATTATAGGTTTCGGATGCTAATAGTGGGCAAGGTTTTTCCCCAAATAATAGTTCCTCTTCACATTCAAGCCATCACCTTTTGTCTCGCCAAAATGAAAGTAATGAAGAAAATGATGGGCAAAGGAATTGAAAGGCAGTTTTGTATCTCCTTGCTAGACAGTTTTAAGACTTATGAGCTTAGCTTGATATATGCATTTTCTTTTGGACAACTTAACAACTTTTGATATGAGATACAAGCTATTTTTTTAGAATGTTGATATGGATGGTTCATGTAGCTAGTGACATGCTTCTGATATGAATTTTCCTTTTGTTATTAATTCTTTTACAGATGAATTACTGCAATTTCTATGGAAGAAATTATGGGAGAATACAATTGCTTTTATTATGTGTTGCAAAACTATAGATGAGTTCTTCACTCACTGGTTAGTACTTTGAGTCTTGCAATTTTTGCATAACTGGTTTGTTTGAACTTTTGATTATAATTTTTTTTTATTTCTAAAGGTCGTTTCAAACTTTCAAGTGATCTTAGGGCTATACCTAGAGATGGAGAAAAACCAATAGAAATTATGATACAATAGAAGGGATTAGTGAGCTCAGAAGTTATAGGTTTTAGTCTGTTAATGGGTTGATATCTATTGATCTTAGGTTTCGAAAGTATACAAGGTTAATGTTTATAACAAGTGGTAGATTTATGTGATCTAGTATGCGTTAGTAATGGGGAGAAAGCAAACTCTTAAAGTTTTCATCTTAAATTTGAATAAAGTGGTTTTATGGAGGTTATTTTATCACCTTGATGAGAGATTTATCATCCCTTTTTTTTTCTATTTTCATCATTTTAGATGGGAAATTAGAGTTGCTTTCTTTCTCCATATATAGTTAGTTTCTACCTGTCTCTAATTTGAGGTTGTTGTTTATCTATGTAGGTTTTAAAGTCAAGGTTAATCATTTATGGGAGATGATTTCTAAGTAATTTAGGTTTATCTTTCTTAAAATGCCTTTGGAAATTTTGGTTTCTAAGTAGTATTTTGTTTTCTAGTGTCGATAGTTGGTACATGCAAGTTTTGCAGTTTAACTTGGTGCTTTATTTGAATTGTAGGCACATAAATCATTTTTATAGATTACAGGAAAGTGTAGTGCTACTACAACTTGTTGTATGTTTATTAAATCCTATTGGGATCATTTTCATGGATTGGTTATTAAATTTTGTTGCACGTTTGGGCAGTGAAAGAATGGTATTGTTTGATTGGAAATTTATTTTATGGAGGTTTTATGTATTGCAAAATAAGTTAGAGTATTATTTGTTCTCAATATATGAATAAAAGTATGTTTTTTTGTTCAAAAAAATTTGACAAAAGGTTTTTGCCAATATAGCCAAACAAATAAGTATAGGAGAAAATCAAAAATAAAATAAAAGGGAATTACCAATTTAAAAAAAAAAAGGATCTATATTGACGGAAACAGCTATCTGTATAGATCCTTGGCCTATAGGTGTATATAGACGGAAGTTCAAGTTTTTACCAATGGAATTATCCGTTTGTAAAGGTAAAGATCTCTACCAATGGAAAAATTGCTTAAGATTTCTTAAGGTCTATATCAATAGATAAGTCTTCCATTGGAATAGATCCTAGGGATCTATATAGACGGATTTGGCGTTGGTATAGACCCTATACTGATGAGGTTTCTACCGACTGCAAGTTCTTCCATTAAAATAGTCCCTGGGGTCTATACTAAAGGGAAAAAGGTGTATATAGATGGAAAACTTCTGTTACTATAGATACATCTGCTTGTAGTGTATGAGTGTAAATATTGATCATGACTAATTGAGGAGATTACTAAACGATTTTATGATATATTACTGGTTTATAATTAAAATTACTATTTTGATATTCAATATTCGACATGCTTTCTTTTAAAATTAAAATGGGGCTACTTATAACTTATTTACTAAGTTATCTCACATTGTTTTTCCTATTCACTATTTTAGAAATGAGACTAAACATGCAACAGATCAGAGTAAGTGACGTGCGAGATAACTAGTTCTTTTATTATTGGATTGACACTAGTTATTGGATTTCTAGACATGAATATTCAAACGATTTAAATATTGAATTTTTAGGCATAATTTGAATTGGTTATTTTTTTTCTATTTTAGAATATAGATTATCTGAAATATTATTTTTATAATGAATTTTAGTAGACATTTTATTAATTATGAAATTTGCATAATATTTTAAACAATTTTGAGCCTATACACTTATAACACCCCCTTAAAAAGGCACATGTTCCACTTCGGGTTTGGGGGTAACACCAACGTTACTTTACCTGACCGTTGCTCATATCATTTCCTGATTATTACTCTAAGTTTGATCTTAGTATTACTTGACTTGACCGTTGCTCATATCATTTCCTGATTATTACCCTGAGTTTGATTAGTGTTACTTGACCATTACTCATATCATTCCTTGATTATTATTGAGAGTTTGATTGCCTAAATGAGTTTCAGTGACCTAGATAGTTTACTTCCTGGTCCATTGCATTGCTTCTTATCTAGTTCTTCCTTTAGTCTCCTCTTCTCCTTTATACGAATCATATTATCTTAATCTTTCCAACTCCATCCCATCCAAGCTATAGTTTCCACTTTATCAACACTCAAGCATTCAACTTTCCAAAGAAACAAACAACCCAACACCCAAAATGATGAATCTTGAGCCAAAGTTTCATCTTTGCACTAGTTTGAGGCTTCATTTAGTAGTTCTCTATATTTTCTCTCTATCTTCCATTTCCTTAGCCTTAGCATCTTCCCTTCCAATTAATTCATTAAAAATATGTCCAATGGACCTCGACTATGTCCTAAGAATCCAGTGGGCTACTTCCCAATGTAGAAACTTCCACCCTAGTAAAGACTTGTGTGGCATCTCCCTTCTCTCCCTTTATGGAATTGCACTAGTGCAATGCCTCAAAGAAACCTCCTTATTCCACCTGTTGGACTTGCCCACTACCGTGTCCTGCATCTAAGATTACCAATCCAAACTTACTACTCTCTCTATCTGGTAATTTGATTTTCAACTACTTTGATCCCTTACAGTTTGTAATTACACCAAATATTTGTGTCCACATATAGTTGACCTAGGATTGGGTTACGCAACTCGGAGAGTTAATTACGCTTGACTCGACTTGCAAGCCTGATCTCACTTATCCCATCGCCTATGCTTCATGTCTTGATGTTGGGTTCTAGGCTCAGAAGTAGTTGGTGTAGATTGATGGTAATAACACTCACACTAATAATTGGTTTCACTTTGCTATTCTTTATGCTGCTAGGATTATTAATCAGTTTGGACCTGAGAGTAAGGGTGTTGTGTCTTGCACTTTTGGAATATCTTTGGAAACACGAACTTCCATTTGTAACAAACATCTAGGTGTTGTTTTCAGATTGATTGGAGCTGGGGTTGCTGTTTTTGTAATGTCTAATTTATTGGGTTTGTGTTGTTGGTATGAGAAGAGGTTTAGGAGAAGAAAGCTTAATAAATCTAGTTCTAGTGTTTACGATTTGGAATTAAATGAGCCAAGATCTAGGCCTAAATTAAGGCGGAATACTTGGTTAATTTGGTTCAAAATTCATGATCTTAAGATGGCAACAGATAAATTTTCACCAAAGAATTTCATAGGGAGAGGTTGGTTTGGGGTTGTTTATAAAGGGGTCTTGTCGGATGGGAAAGTGGTGACAGTGAAGAAGATAGTAGAATCTAAGATTCAAGGGCATGCTAAATTTTGCAATGAAGTTGAGATTATCAACAATATGAAGCATAGAAATCTTGTGTCTTTTAAGGGATGTTGTATGATTGATGATCAAGATGAGAATTATAAGGAGAAAAGGAGTCAAATACACCTTGTTTATGATTACATGCCAAATGGAAATCTTGATGACCATTTGTTTCCTTAGAGTGTAACAAGGAAGAGACAATTGAGTTGGCCTCAAAGAAAGAACATTATTTTAGATGTTGCAAAGGGTTTAGCTTACCCGCATTATGGAGTAAATCCTACGATATATACCATAGGGATATTAAGGGTACCAACATATTGCTTGATGTTGACATGAAAGCAAAAGTGGCAAATTTTGGGTTAGCTAGGTAGGGTCGAGAAGGTCAGCATCTCACTAATAGACTAGTTGGAACTCATGGGTACTTGGCTCTTGAATATGCTTTTTATAAGTAGTTGATTGAGAATAGTGATGTTTATAGCTTTACTGTGGTTATTCTAGAGGTGATGTGTGGGAGAAAAACTCTTGACTTGTCTTTATCAGGACCTCCGGGGCATTTTTGATAACTGATTGGGTTTGGTTATTGGTGAAACTGGGAAAACTAAAGGAGGCTTTGCATCGTTCTCTATTGGAAAACAAACACTCTTTGAATTCCAATCCAAAAGCAATAACGGAGAGGTTTGTGCTGGTTGGTATTTTGTGTGCTCATTTGTTGGTGGCTTTAAGGCCTACTATTTTGAAGGCATTGAAAATGTTGGAAAGAGATATGAACGTTCCATCAATTTCAAATTGACCAATGCCTCTTAGACAACGCCCTTCATTTTATGGTGATGGTACTTTAAGCATCTCACCAGCTTTAAACGGGCCACAATGTGAAGGAGGAAGCTAAGCTTAAGGAATTAGAATCGGAATTACAACCAAAATCAGACAAGGAAACAATCATCAAGAAAGAAAGGGAAACAATCTCAACAAATCAAAGGCAAAGCACTATTTAAGGAAGATTGAGGCAATGTTCATATGCTTGATAATAGGCACAAATTCAGCATGCAAACATATTCCTGTAATGCTGTATATATATCTCAATACTATATTGAATAATACAAGAGAATATAAATCCAATATTCGTTACATCTCTTACCTTTAGCTTACTTCATGGTATGAAAGCAAGCTAACCATTACATACCATTCACATTATCTCTTTCCCATTTAGTTGGGACACAGTTAGGATATATGATTCACCTAAAACACAATTCTCAATGTAGCAAATTCTAAGCATCTATTTGAGTCTCAAATGAAAGCTACCATAAACAATAAATATGAAATATATTAAAAAAATAATAAAAACTTAAATCAACTTCCCCCAGTCCAATTGTCAACATGCCAAATTTTAAGCACTAATTTAAGCCTCAAACAGAACCCATGAAAATACTAATAGAATGACACACATCTAATCAAGGAATAAGAATAAAAGTAACAAACATTCACCTTGTAGTATCTTCTATCAAGCTTTTTGATACTGTAACCCAGTTGAACTATTCCAAATGATTTGATATAAATAAGAACCCCATTCCTACTGTAAACAAGTTTTCCCACTCGTGCTACTAAGTCCATCAACACCTCCTTCTTCACATGGGGGTTTCAGTAAAAGCATACAACAATAAAGGCATGCATTTTTCCAATCTCTAGCTAAATCAAATGGCAAGGAATTGGTTAAGGACTATTTATGCCTTACATATATAGTAATAGAATGATAAATGATTCACAATTATCATTAACAAATCTAGAGCAAACAAGGGCCAAACTTAACTCTAATAATATGATTCCATATAGCTTAGACTTACCAAGAGTTTAAATACATTGCTTTCTATAATCATTAAAAGAAAAGAAATACAAAAAATTCAAAGGTTTTTTTTTTTTTTTCTGTTTTGAATTTACAACCAATATTGATAGTTTTTAGTGCTGATTGATGAAAAAAGAAACAACTTTTACACTAACAAGAGAGAAGGAACATTCATAAAGTTATGGAGAGAAATATAGAATCTATTTTAAGCACACAATAATCAGAAGAAGATTTTGTTCATCTTGGCCAAACAAGGAAAATAATTATCAATGAAGAGAAAGACATGGACGATGCACCTGCAACTGTAACTCTTTGCATTTGTGCTACGAATTACTACTGGAGTGATCAAATCAAATGGGAAGGAATATCTTCTCAGAGGAGGGATGATTCAATTGGGAGAAGATGAAGAAAAACCCACTACCTTTTTTTTTTGGAATAATGGTTGAGGGGCCGATCAAGACCAAGAAAACATGGCAATGCAACGTCCATTGGATTTATTTATATCTTCTCCATTTTTATTTAGATGAAGCGGTAAACAACGGCTAGGCACTTTAATTTATAAGATTTTGACTTTAAACCCCTAATTAAAAAAAAAAGGGGTATTATTATCCAAAAATAAATATGAATAGTTTAATTTAATAGATCAAAAATATTCTTTTGCGGTCTACCTATTAGGATTTTAAAGTTTAAATTTTTTTTGCCTTGCCAAAAAAAAATAGTTTGAATTTTTTTTAGTATTTTGGTGTTATTTTTTTACTCAATAATTAGAGTATTGGAGTTTAAAATTTTAAAGTGGTAATAGAGTTTAAAGTTTAAAATTTATAATTTTCAAAGTTTAGTATTTTGACAATTAGGGTTTATATTTGTTAAGATTTACTAGTATTTAAGGTGAAAAGATTTGGATTTTTGTTGTTAGTTTTTAGGATTTAATTTTTTTTTTATTATGACTTAAATTTTTTGAGATATGGTGCCTAGTGTGTCAAAGTTTAAATTTTTCAAGTTTATATTTTCAAAATTCCATATTTATGGACTATGAGAGACAAGTTATAATTTTAAGATTGTCTTTTCAATTAAAAACTAATTAGAACAAAATGTAAAATTAAAAACTTGTAAAGACTTAAAAATAAAAATAAAAAAGATGAAGATTTAAAAATAAAAGCACAAAGCTATATGCTCGTTGGTCTTATCTCAGTCTAAGGATTGTTGGTCCCTATAGAAACATCCTTAATAGATGATTTTATGTATGAAGTTCAAATTGCATAAAATGTATTTATAGATTAATTAACAATTATTTTAATTAGCTATGTTTATTTTGATTTGATTTGATTTGATTTGATTGGTTTATAATTAAAATCAATAATCAAATGCATTCTTATTTCATTCTTTTTATGCAAAAAAAGGTTATAAATTATAGAAGTGTGATCATTGTGTGGGGTTTTCACCCACACTACTAGGGTTTGAACCCCTTTACCCCCATTTCCCTTTCCCCTTACCCTTAATTCCTTTTGTAAATAAATAAAAAAAAGTTATAAGTTATAATTAAGCACAAAATTTTTTTTTAAAAAAATCCTAGAGCTAATTGACAAATTATATATTAAATAAATAGAAACCCTTCTCATTATAAATAGAATGAAGAGTTTATGACATTGAGACAACTCTATCTTGCAACAACGTGGTGTAACTTGCATTTTTTCTTTTTTAAATTTATACCATAAATTGTTTTTTTCTTCTGTAAATTTTTCTTTAACTAACGATGTTTTAACTTAGGTTTTAAACTTCTAAATAGTTTCCAATAATTATATATAACAACCAAACTCAATAATTTAAAATTATAAAAGAAATAAAATTTTCAAGAATCCTTCACCATTCACAAATGCATATATGTTCTATTCCACTTTAAATAACTTTTTAATTTCCTCCAACATTTCAAGAATGACCTTTCTATGATTTCCCATATTTTTTAAGGAAATTTCATTTTATCATTTGCTTTTTGTCCCATACAAGGCAACTTAATTCAAAACTTGTCAAAATAGAATTCAAAACTAAACCATATATATTGTGAACTATCTATTGTTGTGCTAAAATCATGAAAAAGTTATGTAAATTTTTAGTATTTAATTTTATAAACTTAAAAAAATGAACATCTCATTAAAATAGAATCATAGAAATCCTATTGCTATAATATACTAAAAATTAGTTTAACTTAGTGAAATCTAACTCTAATTTGTTTAAAGATTTTTGGGTATTAAAAATTTGTTTAGAAATATTTGAATTTGTGGGTATATGTACGGTCTTGAATTAGAAGTGAGTTTTAGTTTTATACTTGAATCTTGTGTGAATTTTATTGGTTAATTACTTGCTACTATTGTTTTCATATTTTCTTATACATTTATGTGAAGACTTTTGGAAATCTCATAGTTAAGTAAAACCTATGAATGCTTAATTAAAGTTTGGGTGTTGCCCGTGACTTATGCACTGGAGTTTTGGTTGATTAAATGTGCATTAATTGCATTATTAAAATAAGAAATCAATTTGAACTCTTATTAGTGAAATATGTAGTTAGGCATGTAGATATTAATGTGAATCTTTTTAGAATGTCATTGACTATGTAAAATATTAAATGAAATAATACTCCTATATTTTTTGAAAGTGTTTTGAATTTGTTTGACATTTGTATATGTTTGTGACTATGGAGTAAGTGGACCTAAACTTAAAGCTTGGGGTATTTAGGGGACCTTTTGAGTAATTAGTGGATCTTTGCATAGTAGGGTGAGTGCCATGATTGGCTTCAGTACAAGTGTTGTTAGTACACATCAATGGACTTCATAGCATTTTTTTATTTTTGTTTATGCATTTTGCTTATGACTTTTAATTTGTGAGCATATGATTTTGTGACTTGAATTTGAATTAAATGTCACTAGCTATTTCTTGGCATGTCCAGTT